CCTTGCTGTATTCCTGCTGAGTTGCATGCTCCTTTATTGATAGATATATAGGGCTGACATGTTTGAATAGACTGCTTCTCTTTAATCAGTTAACAACCTTATGCCACATTCCATTTGAATGTGCTTGCAGATAACTACTCTCTGTTATTTGTTGTTGTTCAATATGTCTAATTGAAATTTTCCTCTTGTTCACCTACATATGATTTTCCACATGTGCAATCAAGCTTGTAAACTCCAGCTTAACATTTGGGCAGTAAATTGTTCTTATTGTTGCAAACTAATGTTTTTAAATTTGGACTAGGTGTAAAAAAAATAACTTTAAAACCAACTTGTTTGAATTTCTTTTTAGCTTTGAACTTAAAATAGGAAGTTTAACAATTTTAGGATTAACCTAGGGATTTTTTCTTGGTACTAAGATAAGTTGATATTCTTGTCTGTATTTTAAGGCTTTTATTTATTTATTTTTTTTTCAATATTTTTCAATTGAGTTTCATTGTGTTTCTTTTTAATAAAATTATCTTTAAGAAATTGAATTTCCTATTTTGTTAACTGATTCTTCATGAATTGGTATTACTGTATGCTTTCAGCTGTAAATGAAAGAATGGCATCTTTACAATATATTGTAATATCATAATTTTCCATTTTGAGTTTAGTGAAATTTATATTGATGATTGCAAGTGATTTGTTTTCAGTTTCAATAGTAAATTTTTGTTCATTTATGTATCTTCAAAATATTGAATAACAAAGGGCTGAAAAATAATTGTACTTTTATTGCATTCCTGTTTGTCTCATTTAAATTGATTTCATAGAAATCCTTCTTTCCCCTCATTAACCAAAATTGATAACCACTGTCATTTGTAATAAAATCATCATCATTATTATTATTATTATTATACTTTGTTTTAATACAAAAGAAAACTTTTTCAACATAGACAAAGATTATAATAAATACAAAACATGACAGAAAATTGTATTTGTCTGTTAGAAAATTGAGATTTGAAAATTAAGAAAGAAAAAGTTATCAGGCATTGTAGGAAAATAAATTTGGATTTGACATCATTAGAAAGTGAAATTTTTTTTCTGCTACATTTCTCTTGACAGTTCTTTAATGCTTGAATATATTAGTAAGAGAACCTATGTCTATCATATTTTTGCTTGTTAGCATTGATCAGAAGATTTTGTAGGCTGTAAGAGAGCAGTCTTTGAGATTTCCATTAGTCCATAGCTAATGTAATCATTTGACAGGGATAAATGTTGTATTACAATGGAGATTTAGAGAAGAATTTTGAAAATTAGATATTTCCCAAATTAAGAAATTAGCAATTTTAAATTTGAACAGTATTTCAAATTGGGGTAAGTTGTTTTATTTAAATTTTGAATTAATATGTTTAATTTGTTTTTTGATATTTTGTTACAAAGATCCAGTTATTATGGTTTAATTACTGTTTTGTAAAATTTTAGTCAAAATGTTCGACTTTATTCAGATATTTATTATTGAGATTCAAGTTATTTGCTGTTGATACTTTAAATGTGATTTTTATATTATGAATAAATAATTATAAATAAATATAAATACTTTTACCATAAAAAAGCAAAAACAATTTGAATGTGTTTTGAATGTGTTCTTGAAGAAGGAATCTCTGATTAAAAGTTCTACCTCAAAGATAATTATGCACAATAACATTCCATTGTTTTATTGTTTAGTCGTGTTACAATATTTTTTTACTTTTACATATAATTTATTTTTGGAATTGTATATTAACATTTAAAAAAAGATTTGTAGATGTTTGCTATTTATTTATATGCAATAAAACTTTGAATTATATTTTTGTTTTCAGTTTTAATAATAATTATAGCATATTGTATTGCTATTTTGTTATAAAATACTATAAAAATGGAAAAAATGAAATTTTCCAAAAGCAACAAAACTGAATTTACCAAAAGTGGAAATGGAATAAAGGAAAATTTGAAACGGAAAATCAGGGGCCCTAGGTTTGCTTTGCAAATGATTAAAAGGTATCGAGAAACAAAGATCAACTCATGTGAACATTTCTTAAATGACATTTTAACAAAGTAATGGAGTAATGGATAGCGGCTTGGATTGAGGAATTGGGGAGCTGAGTTCGAATTCCAGTTGTATCCTTTACATTCACTTACATGTTAATACTCTTGGGAAAGGTATGAATCCTCTTCTTCTCCTCTCAGCTATGGGTAAATAGCAGGACAGACCAGGTTCTGTAGCCTTGGATGGCAACTGATCTACTGCAGAAAGAAATGGCAACCTACTGCAGGGGAAAATAAATCTGCCTCATCAGTCATGTATCTTTCGATACATGATCACCTAAGCGTGTATTATGCATGGCACATTACTGACTGAATGTGTGAAAAGGATACACAAATAAAGAAGTTTAATCATTTTTAATCTTTGATATGTAAAAGTGACTGCACTCAACTGACAGCAAGTCAACAGTGAATCTCACTGTGTATCCCTTTTATTTTTATATAAATATATGGAAATATGTTTATTTGAATAATGTTGTTATGATGGGAAGAATTAAGAATGGTATGTTCCAATCTGGTGATGATATCAGGAACACATACAGCTCCACCATTGCTGAGCACTTTATAAACAATCCAAGTTGTGCCACAAATTTCAGCATGGACTCATTTTCTATCTTTAGTCATGCTCATTCTGTGTTACACTTAAAGGCATTGGAAATGATCTATGTCAGGTCCAGGCAGCCCTCCCTCTGTAAACAGAGGGAATGCCTGTTAGGGCTTGACATGATTTCCATCTGATCTTTCCACCTTTATTTTATGATATGCTTCTCATGTTTTTATATTTTATATTGCAATATTTAGTCTTTCCTCGCATCCAGCTCTGTTGAGTGAGGGCGAAACCAGTTGGCTGGTCAATTTTTTCCTTTTTTTTTCTTTTCTCTTTTCCTTTTAATCATGAATAGTAAAGCACATCTTGCTAGTTTTATTTCTATAATATATATATATAATGTAATATATTGTAATAGCATGTCACTATAATGACATGCTATTATAATTTATGTATTAAAAGAGAGAAAGAAAGAATAATCCATCTTTTAACTGACAGTTAAAAACATTGTTTTTCTCCCTTTTTTCTTTCTTTCCCCTTCATTCTAACTACTTTGTGTATACATGTGGGTGAATGGTGACAGTGAATAGATGTACTTCCCTATACCATGCCAACAGCAGTGGATGGGCGATTGGTCTTTGATATCATACATGTTGACTCTGTAGGCAGGTCACATGAACACAGATAGATGCAGATGTTATTGAATTAAATTGTTTGTATTAAATTGAATCCACGTGTTCATTGTCATTCTTTCATTGAATATTATGTTTTCTGACTTATTCCTGACTTGTAGACATCCTTTCCTTGTATGAATCCAGAGAAATCATACCTTGAGTCAGGTCATCTCATCTTCTGACTTAAAATGTAAATTTATGTCTGAGACCTTGGCAATAACAATAATAATATATATGTGTGTGTGTGTGTGTAAATAAATATACATATTATCCCTCATTGCTAACATGATTTTGAGTTTCATGCATGAGTATGAACTGACCATTACATAATTTTGAATTATAATATATTTTGTTATCACGTAGTTATATATTATACTGGGATTACAGTTTTTTAATCTTAAAATTTATATTTGGCAATTCAAAAGAAGTGGGTTTTTTATATATGTATGTAAATAAAATAATATATTAGAGTGGGAATTATTCATATTTTAATTTTTTTTCAATTATATAATTAAAAAAAATCAATGTATTTAAGCAGATATTTATTTTTATACCTACATGTAATCATCAATTCATTTCTTTTATTTAATAAGTTAGGGTTATTTAAGTGTTTTATGATAACCAGCTTTTCAACAAGATATAGATTGCATTTATTTCCTCTGCCATTATAAGATGTTGATTTAACTGCCAGAAATATTTATTGTTTAGTCATGTTACAATATGTTGTTTTTGTATTTTAAATTATTTAAGGTCATTTTATGATGGTAACAATGAAATTTCCAAGGATTTTCTGTGGAACCAAAATAAAATTTAATATCGTTACTGGAATGTATGTTCACTTGATATATATTATTGGTCATACATTGACTATTTACGTGACAGATCATATTTTTACAGTAGTTGCATTAATTTTTAAAAGAATTTACATTGTCTTTCTTGGAAATATGTTTGTTTGAATAATGCTGTTATGATGGGAGATGGATGTGTCTATGTTAATAGCACAACTATAGCTGATCTTAACATTGATTTTTATTAAGGAGGTATTTTTTTAAAGTTCAGCTTCTTTTAAGTTCTTATACTTGATGGTCTGATGATTACGTTTAGCATGAAACAAACTGTCACTTCTGGGTATTGGCTTCAATATCCATTTATATATATATATATATATATATATATATATATATATAAGATGTGGATGTTGTACACAGTGTTAGATATTTTTATGTATGCTAATAAAATTGATATAATCAATTGATGTTGGTAAAATTTTCAAGGATAATTTTTTAGGATCCCAAAGAGAAAAAGAATTTAGGGTCTAAAAGAAAGAAAGAAAATTTTTAGGATCTCAATGAAAAAAAAGATCCAATAGAAAAAGAAGAAAATCTGTCAAGATCCAAAAATTAGGATCCCAAAGAAAAGGAGAAAAAACTTTCAGGATCCCAATGAAAGAAATCCACATATTTCTGAGAAATGTTACTTAAAATGCCCTAATATTTCTAAGCAAGGTTTGTTGATTTCTTTGTTATTATACATTGGCTGTGATCAATTTTATTGAGGTTTCAGCTTTCTATTAGTGTTTCTGTTAGCCATTTTAAATAAATTTTTATTTCAGAGAAGAGCACAAAAACAAATCTACTTTTCTGTTCATTATTATCTTTATAATTTCTACTATATGCAGTAAGAAAAAAGTAATGAAATAAATTTTCTCAATATTTCAGACTGGTATGACTCCTGGTACAGGCTTCAATCGCCAACCATTAGGAACTGCTGTTCGTGGCGGAAGAAATGCTTTACCATCTTCATTTGGTCGTCCAATTGGCACAGCAATACAACCACAAGATGGCTCCGCACGTCCAATGACAGCAGTCAAAGGAGCAGGCTACACTTCTGCTGGAAACCGGGGTTAAGCTTTTGCTTTTTTCTTACCTATCCTATTCTTTATTTCACCTTTTAATTTAAAATAAAAAAATTCTTAATTTATTAAAATTATTGATTTAATCTTTGATTATTATAGGTATTATTATAGACATGAATGTTTCAGCCAAGTGACTACTGTCCATCTTTATATTTGGCTTGTATGAAAAATTTATTGTCACTTTTTTCCTGCAATGTTTCTCATTCATTCTTGCTGAACGAGATGATTGTGAAAACCAAATGCCAAAACCATCTGTCATTGGATTTAAAAAGGTTCCAAAAATACACAACTGCTATCCTTTATGACAGTGGCATAGGGTATATAGGAATTGATGAGTCAAGTGTTGCCTTAACCTGGTGATTATGAATTCAATCCCTGCTGAGTTAGGTTATGAAATCTATACATTTTGGTTCAGAAGAAAGAAACAAGAAATGGTGTCAAAGAGGCAAAAATATCAATAATCAGTTCAAACAAGATATCCCCCCATCAGTTGAAAAGTAATAGTTACTTGAAGATGGCAAAATTTTAAAAAAATGTTTGCTCTTAAAAAAAAAAAAACTGTAAAAGGTTAGTTTTCAAGACTTTTGACTGATTCCACAAAACCTCAAAAAAAAAAAAATTTTTAAATAGTTTTCAGTAATGTGAAAAGTTAAAATAGTTCAACATTTTCATTTAAAAATCCTAAATACTCTGAGAAAGTTGTGAAAAATTAATACTTGCATCCAAACCTGAAAATATTATATTATATATATTAATAGTAAGCAGAGAAGAATTGGTGACTAATATAACCTGTATGGCTCATTCCTAACAACATGAGCCACACAGACAATTCTGTTCTCAGTAATCCATGTAATACTGGTGATTCCATGTTTATATATAGAGAAGCTTTCCCATTCTGTTTTTGCTAAACAATGAAAATTAAGTTTACCTGGAAATAAACAATGTAATTATTAATAACAAGAGTTGAAATTAATGCATACAAGATTTCACAGCTCTAGCATCACTCCTTCATAGTCAGCCTATAAACTTTTGAGCCCCCACCTCATACTTCTGTAGAAAGGATACCTCTTTTTTTTTACCTATTATACATGTGAAGAAAGCTGAAGAATAGATTGTCTGAAATATAACATCATCAGTAAATAGATAAATAACTCTGCATAAGCTTAGTTTGTTATAGTACAAGACCACAAACATAGGGTATCTGGTGAAGATTGAATTTAGTAGTTGTTGATGTCCTCTCTTTCAATTACTCTAATAAAATTAGCAAAAAAAATATAATAAAACATTCATTCCCAATCAATGTTTTCTCACTCATACTGTCTACTGCTGCATAAATATTTAGACATATTTTTTTAACATTTAATTACCAGAATTGATTATTCACATGAATTCTATTTAAAGATTTTCTTTTATAATGTACAGACTGAATTTTAATCTAATTCTAATCTTAGTCTGTATGCTGCAATAAAATCAATGGGCCTTAATTTGCAAAGATTTGAAAGATGCAAAATGAAAAGAAATTTTTGTAATTACATTGTCAATAAGAATATCAACAGAAAAAGATTGAAAAACAAGAACAAGACAGTTGACCATAAAGAATTTCTTTCTCTCTTATACTAGAAGAAAAGACAACTGACCATAAAACAGAGCCCACAAACACAATAAGCAAAAATATTTATTATAATCTAATGATTTTAAGCTGTTACAACATTGTTTTAAGTTTGTTTTTGTTGTGCTATTTTTCTATTTAGATGAAGACAAAGATGAAGTAAAACTTTTTGTTTCTGCTGCTTTTAGATTAAGTTTTGTTATTTTCTCCCCACCAGGTGCTATGTTCGATCCCGCTGACCAAGCAATTAAGGGAATTGGTCCAGGTTCTCCTAGAGATAAAAAGTCAGAAGATAAGTAAGTTGAGATTAATACTCTTGGATATTGAAAACTTTACAAGTACCTTACTTGACTGAAAAAGATATTCAAATAATCCATACCCTGTACTGGGACCAGTTTGCATGCAGATATAGAGTTTAGTAAATGTATATAAAATAGAAAGAGGAGTATGGCCGATATTTTTTAACCTGTTCAGCAAGATAATCATAAGGGAACAAGAAGAGCTTCCACAATTTATTGTCAGCAAATGTAAATGTAACAACATCTGCGCTATGCAGATAACACTTAGGTGATGTCAGATACAGAAGGAAAACTGAAAGTTTTATTGGACAAAAGGGTTCAGAAAAACAAGGAAAAAAAAATTAATCATTAGCTATAAGAAAACAGAATGCATGGTTGTCAGCAAAAGGGACATCACAAGGTGTAAGTTACATATTAGGGATGTAAAAATCAGGCAAGTGCAGAACTTTAACTTTCCAGTTAGACCAGTAGTTCTCAATTGGGCTCCATATTGACCATTACTAGACAAAATTACACAAAAAATAACAAATTGGAAGTCCACGGTAATATTTTAGTAGTCCATAGAGCAATTTCATTTCAGAACACTTTCTACAGTAATGTACGCCATATTAAAATGCTAAAAATAGAAAAAATCTCTAAAACTAGATCAAATGATGTAAGTTAGTGTCACTTTTACCCTCCTGGATGTTTTGATTGTAAAAGTTGAATAAAAACTGAGAAGGACATACAAAGGAAGGATTATATATATATATATATATATATATATATATATATATATATATATATATATATATATAAATTAATTTAATATATTAATAATAAATATAAAATATTAATATAAATTAATAAAAAACTTTAAAGAAATAAAATATCAATAATAAAATTAATATATAAATTATATAAGAATTATATATAAAGGAAAGATTAGCAGCACCAACCACAGGGATCTCATTGAATAAATCTGCACTTTTTAAAAATAGATATATATTTTAAAATGGTTTATTATGAGTTATTTTACTAGTGTACATAAATATTCCATATAATTTACTTGTTAAATATTAGTTTATTTTCAATAAATTAGTTTTACTTCAAAATAAAGCATATACATTTACTATTTCTATAATACAATTCTTAAACTTATCTGTTAGTAAAAACGAAATTAGCTTTTGTTTCATCAAATGATTATGGTGGGGGGGTCTAACAAAAAAAATTAAGAGCAAAAGTGTTCCTTGGGTAAAAAAAAAAAAGGTTGAGAACCACTGGGCTAGACAATGAAAAATAATAATAAAGGAATGAAGGAATAGCAAAAGATGCTTTTTATAAATCGAATAATATATTATGGGATTAGTGGGGATACCTGGCATTGCTCAGAAGATCTCTGAATAATAGTTTATTATTGACAATTTATTGATATTTTCCAGCCATCTCATGGAAAATAATTTGTTATTCAATCTTTAAAAAATAAACTTCATTGTTTTTTGGTTTGTTACAAAATAACTAAATTTAGTAAAATACCACACTACCAATACCATGCTGGAGGTGGGGAGAGCTTCCCCATATTTTTATTCAAAATGACACTTTATTTTTTTAATTAAATGCTAACATAAATACTCTGTTAGTGTTGTTTTCGAACCAATCTAATCAGTTTATCTAAGTTCATTAACCTTTTTTCAAATTATTATTAATAAAAAAGTAAATAAATTTAGATTAAGATATATTTAAACATATTTAATTTAATCATTTTTTCAAGCAAAAACTAAAGCAAGCCTTACTTCTTCAAAAAATAATTATTTACTATTTATTTTGGAGGGCAATTTAGATTTTATAAGTAAATAAAGATTACATTAGTAATTTTCTTTTTAAAGAAAGTGAAAGAAGCAGACATTTCTCTGTAAATGAATTTAATTACTATTTTGAAAGAAAGTAGAAATAAGATACATTGAGAATTTAGTTTTGAAAATCAATTACGTTTAAATTTCAAGTTATATTTGTATTTGAAAAGAAAAAAAACTTTAGTTAAATGAAAGGAGAGACAGACATGAGTTACAGTCAGCATTAGTCATGTTATATATTTGTTTTACAAATTTAACAATATCTTACTAAAATTGAAAAAATAAGGCGTGCCATAGTCTTTTGCTTTAATAAAACTTAATTTAAAATTATTTACTTTTTTATGTTAGTTACAAGCCAAAAAATCAATGAAGTTTATTTTTTAAAGATTGAATAAAAAAATTATTTTCCATAAGATGGTCAAAAAATATTAATAAGTCAATAATACGCACACACACACACAGACAACTGCTGTTTATATATGTATTGATAGATAATAATATTCCTACAGCATAAACATAAAAACAAAATGTGTCTATTTAAAATAAACCTGTTATTAAAAATAGGTAATTAAAAATTTCCTGATTAAAAAAATTATCAAAAAATGCCATGTTTGTAGAATATCTGATTGTATTAAAGCTACTGAAAATTCACCCCACAATATCTACGGGAATTTATTTTGTTGTGTTTATTTAATATTTTTCTTCTTTTAAATTTACTTTGTTGTTTTAATATTCATATTTTTAAAGTTACACTTTTATTTATTATAGATATGAAAATCAAGAGAATAGAAATTTTAAAAAAGCATATAGTGTTTTGAAATATCAGCAGAATTAAAAAGTAAAAATGAACAGAATTTCTCTTTGTGTGGTACTTTTAAGTGCAAAATTGGATTTGTATGTAAACTCACTGAAGGAATTGGCCACACTGTGTTTCTAAATAATGCTGATTTTATCTATTTTCCTTTTTGTAAATTCAAATTAAAACTATTCATTTTTTTTTTTCTTTTGAGACAATTATGAAAAAAAAGTCTGTTTTGGTAAACATATTTGTTTCATAGTTGATTTTTTTATGATGCAATCAGTTTTCAAAATTGTTTTTGACCCTTGTGGGTTGTATTTTTAAAGATAGTTATACATACAGCAAAATAAAATGCCACCATAAATTTGACACAAGCAATTATATAACATTAGTGAAAGAATAAGAGATAACCAAAGCTGTATGTTACTGTTTTTTCACCTGAGATATTAATATCTTTTTTAACTTTTTTTAAAATCAGTATCACCCCAAATGAGGCAGTACATTCACTAGCACACAAAGGGTTACAGGGGTGTGGAGGAATTAGAAACAAAAAACATTAGTAATGAGTAGAAAGAGAAAAGAGAAATCAGGAGGACAGTAGATAGCAATTGACATTGCATTTAAATTTTTGAAGATTAAAGTTAGTTGGAAAGCATGGGGCCAGAAGGGTGTTCCATAAGCAAGAAATGTGAGATAAGAAACTGTTAGCATAGAAGTTACGGCTATATCTAGCCAGATCAACTCTAAATTGATGAGATCTCAACACCATTCTAGTATTGAGCTTAAATTCATACAGTCTCGGTACCATAGCAAAGAACTCATCCAAACAATTACCATGAAAGTATTTATAAAAAAGGCACAGATAGGCAACCTTACAATGGTGGGCAAGTGACTGAAGCTGAGCTGCTAGATCAGGACCAATAATATTGCTGATTCTTCTTTGGATTTTATCAAGGATCTCCAGGAAAATAGCTGGGGCACTGGATCATATAGAGGAAAAAGAGATAGCTGACAGAGTTCAGTTGCAAAAGATGGAAGCACATGAAAATAGTCAGTAGTCTCTAGAGACAATTCCTTGGCCATCAGATTATCCCAGATGTAAACACCAAGGCCAAGCATGTGAATGCTGGAATCTTTTCGACAAAGGGGAAGATACCATGGAACCAAATCTAATCCAATACATTTCTCTGTTAGATGATAAATGCTGATGAGTATTAACTGTCCCTATTGAAGTACATTTTAAATTAGGAATCATGATGACAGAAACATGACATATATAAACTAACACTATTATCTTACTCAGATTTGAAATTTAATAATGATGTACTTGTTGACAATTATTATAAGACGCAAGAGACTTGTATAATTGTTTGACAATGTCTCTTACAATATGAACACAGAAATTATCAAATTTTAAAAGTGGATGTCTTGTTGGTCAGCCTGCAGGTGAAATGAACTGCTTTCCTAAACAGCATTGAAATTGAGGATAGCATTTAATTGTCATATAATTATGAATTTACTGGATTATATTCAGTTATATAACTGCAAATTTACCCAGTTATAACAGAATTTACTCAAATACATTCAGCTATTATATAACTGGGAATTTACTCAGTTATGCTATAACTGAATTTACACAATTATACCCGCTTATCGTATAACTGAATTTACTCGGTTAAACTATAACTGAATTTACTTAGTTATCATATTATTGTGTACTCAATTAAACTCAAGGAAGGAAATCACTTTATCTTATTTAGCCCAACTTGTGTGATTAGAAAATGTCTTTGTCATGAAATGGGAAGTTAAAAAGAATCCCCCATTGCAAAGTACAAAAGTATGAGAGCATGTAACCAGTTTAGCCTAAAAATGGCAGCAGTATATTATCAGTATATTTGGAGTTCTAATTCAGTGATTCTCATAGTCTAATCAGTCTCCTGATATGAATTCTGTTGAACATGCTTGCATCATTTTCAGTGATGAAAAAATGTCCGGAAAACCCTTAAAAAAAAAAAAAAAAAGAGAGAGAGGTATTTATATTATTTACAGACTAATATCCTCATCTTTGTTTTATTATTACAATGTTTTGGCCATTATGCCTTCTGGCCTTCTTCAGGTGTCTGTTGATCTGGACCCACATTGAATGACACTTGGAAATGGTTGGAGGATATAATGGTGATTTTCAAAGTGTAGCTTAGATGTGGCAAAAAGCCAAAAGTATGGGGCACCTAGTGAGGATCGAACTCACTATTCAGTCATAATTGATCTAGCGAAGCAAGCTTGCTAACCATTACATCATGGTGAAGTGCCCAGGTTGGAGGGTATAATGACTAAAAATGTGATAACAACAACAAAGATGAGGATAT